TGCTGTGGATCTAAAGTTAGCGCTTTTAGTAAACGTAACACTGAGCCGGCTAACATTTTTCCGGTTAATTTTGGTTCCGATTCTATATCTTTGTATGCATCCTCTAGAGAATCCACAAATGCAACAAAATCTTCTCTAACCTGGCCGTTGTAAACATATCGTAAGCTCAAAGACAATTGCTCAATACCATATATGTCAGTTGTTTCATCAAATAAAACTGAATAAAATTTGGCTGCTTTAACTCTCTGTACAATAGTATCTGTAATAATATCGCCAATTGTGGTTATGATTTCATTTTGAATCGTTTTGCTTATGTATGTCGCATTTGATTTAGATGATTTTAAATGTTCTTCAAGAACATGGTCTCCAGCATCGACCCTAAACTGAAGTAGTTCTCTGAAATTACCCTCATTTCTAACTGGACCGGTACCATATACCCCTTCATTAAGCATGTCATTGTCCAAATTTTCATCATCTTCATCATCATCATTATCAGCATCGCCTGCATCATTAGTATTTATATTAAGTTTTCCGTCATCTCGATGTCCTCGTAGAGGAATATTTTGTTTTCCCAAAAAAATAATAGATTTAATTATGGGCTTCAATCTTTCTCTGTTTTCCTTCATTTGCTGATATCTTGCGGAATAGAGTTGATTAACAACTTCAAATGATGGATTTTGGTATGATTTCACAAAATCATTGCCCCTCTGAACTGACTCTTTGTGATACCTGTATTGTTCATGACAGCTGAGATCACCTTTTGCCTAATAATTTTGCAAATGATGTAAGTGGTTTTTTTACTAATTTTTGCAATGGCGTTTGATGACTAATACCGCCGGTGTCAGCCATTAGAGCACAATACCTGCAAAATAAACCTTGTTCCACATGCGAGTATGTCAACCATGCATTAAATGTTTCCAAGTGACTTTTCAAAATGTACCGTTTTTCATTTTTACCATTTTTAATATGATTTGAATACGGAAATTTGTAGCCAAATTCTGGTTTCCATGGATTTTGTAGAAGTTCAAATTTTATATCATCATTAATTGTTTTATTACTGCTGCCCACATACAGTCCAATATCATTATTATGTACAAAATCCATTTGTTGATAGACTTTTTCATTATTCTTTATCTTGTTATCTTCGTCATTATCGTGCAAAGCTACTTGCTCAAATGATTCATCATTTTTAACAATCACTTTTTCATTATGATTATCGGAACTATCGCCTTCATGTAGTTCTAAAAAAATAAACTAAATTTAACTTAACTCTGAACACTTATTTAACAATTTCTATGCTACTAGTGAACAAATTCATATCGTATGGTGATCTAACCTGGTGGATGTGCCCTTTTAGTTCGCTTCACAAAACGATCCATATATATTTAAATTAATCTTCTAAAAAAACTGAAAATATGATTATGAATTATGATACTTATACAGTACTATTACTAGCGCAACTCAAATTTGAATTTTTAAAATGAAAATCAAACGGAAGAAGCGTTCAAAAAATTTTCAAGTGTATTTTGCCGCGTGGGTGCGTTCATAATTTTCCTTTGATCATTTGTAATAAAAATTATAAATAAATCAAAGTAAACATAAAACATTATATTATTCAATTAATTTACATTCTAAAATTTATAATCAAAAATGGATATATTCAACATTACAAAATATTTATTTAAAAATTTTCGCCCCCCCCCAGTCAAACTTCCTGGATCCGCCCTTGGTTCTTGATTCCTAAGCAGACTTATTTCAGATGACTTTATTTGAAAGAAAACAGTTCTGGCAATCACTTGTGTGTATTGCCGTAATCGATCACTCTTTCGTTCAATCCTTAAAATCGTTAGAGTACAGCACAATAACTAATCGACAGGTAAATCACGGAATACAACTACAATTCGTCAGTAGTTAAGTTTTTCTTGTCCGACTAATTACATTGAGTTCTCAAGTCCTGGTATTCTTTATTGCAGTGAGCTTCCAGCTATCGGAATCTTACCTCTGTCACCAGTGTGTAATATCCTGAAAATCCCATTTCTGACACCAGTGTCGTAACCTCTTCGACCTCGTAACTACCAACACCGATGTTATAGCTTCAGTACTCGCTATATCTCCAACACCGTGTTGTTGCTTCCAATGATCGTTTATCCGTAGGTTCAAGATCTCCGATAGATGAACACAACAACTTTAAACGCAAACTACGTCAAACGTTTATTTAATACCATCAGTAATAGAAACAATAACTTAATCTTAATAACTACATAAAACCACATTAATCACATTTACGTCAATTGTGCTCCGTCTTCTGGTTACCTGTATTCCTTGTGTTATCTCGTTCTCCTCGTGTTCTTGTTTCGTCTTTATTCTCGTTTCTTGTTCGTCCTCGTGTACTCGTTGTTTTCGTTCTCGTTGAGTCCCCACATATATAGTGACTTTTCTTGCAGCCGTTTTAATTAGCTCTGCCTCTAAATTAAATTCTCAAGCGCTTTACTTAATTTCTAACTACTAATTCTTATCTCGCATTCACGTCTGTAACAATATATTAAAGATTAAATTTTTGTACCGGAGAGTCACAAGATCTTTTTCAATCACTCTGAAAAAGTCAAACGGTCATTTAATGAAGCAAAATAAAAATTACAAATGAATGAAATGAAGTGATCTGGAGATTGAAAAGTGACAGCTACCATTGACAGACTCACATAACTAGAATAAATATAACGGCCTTCGCTCACTTTTAACGCTCGAACAATGAGCTTACTTCCGGAGTGGATTTGGAGGGTGATTTTTTATCGTTCGAGCCAAAAGTTACGATCGTTTATTTACTAATTTCGAAATACTGCTTTTATTTAAAATGTTAACATTTTTATTTTTTTTAATTGTTATTCAATGTGGTAATTAATTACTTTTATTTGGTATAAATTTAAAAAATAAAATTGACATTGCCGAAAATAATTAAAAGTTGAAAAAACTGAGGTTCTTTGCATATCTCTGCTTCAACCCATAAGAAAGTGTTGTATATCATGGAATTATATAATTCAATGTTGTATATTGGTAAATAGGCCTCCCCTTGGACGGACTAATATTTTTCTAATTGAACATTAAAGTATATTCAGACGGCTTAAGATTTGCACTCACGCTTATTTTTTGGTTTCATTTTGTTCAACATGATTCTGTTAAATAAATGGTGATTAACACATTATGACCAGCTTTCAATACTAATATAACTAGCAACGTTTGCAGATTGCAGAGTTCCTGGGTGCGTTTAATATATTGCTAGTTGCAGATGTGGATACGTACTTTATAATCAAGTACCCGCGTACTACGTAGGTCGTTTGATACATGCGCACTTTTCTTTATTATTCTTTAAAAATCAGGATCTGACAGACGCAGAAACTGTTACAGCATGCAAGGCAGTAGTACAAAATTAAACAAATAAGTAAATAAAAACATGAAAAACTGAGAAAGAAGAATGTTTAAAACATGAAAAATAAAATAAGCTAGAATAAAATAAATAATAATAATAAAATAAATAAATGGAAAAGAAAAGAAATTGACAATAAAATGAAGTAATGGCATAAAAATGCAAATTAATAGACTAGATGATGACTTAGTGAGTTAGTGAGGTGATCGATAAATAAAAACTAGTTGTGTGAATGATGAAGTTTTATTGAGTGTTAATATGTTTGAGTGTCTTGTGATGAAAGTCTTTCCTGGTATGTAGATTGGGCGACGACTTGATAGTTATGTTTGCGCTGACGAAGGTTGTGTGTTGTAGTTTTGATTGGTGGTAGTCGAGGATGGATGACGTGGTTGTTGTTATTTTCTACTTTCTTGAACAGTCTTGAATCGAGTGTGTTGAATATCTGAGTGACGGTAGGATATGATGCAGGTAGATAGTTGAAGTGGATTAGTTTTTTAATGAGAGATGGTAGTTGTTGTGAGCTGCATATTTGATGCGTGAGAATATGAGTGATTCAGTGATGTCGAATAATTTAAGGCCTCTGAGTCCATGGGAGCGAAGTGTTTTGAGTGTGTGAAATGTTTGAAAGCCTTTTGTGATGATGTGATTGATATGAGGTGCTATATTAAGTGTGGAGGTGAATGTGATGCCTAATATTTTTAATTGATGGGTGTTCGGAGGTAATGTTATTTTCTTACGGCTATTGTGAATGATGAGTTCGAATGATTTATTGAGATTAAGTGACAGATTGCATCGTTTTGACCATGTGGTTAATGAGTCGAGTTCTGATTGGATGGTGTTTGAGTTAGATGAAAGAATGATAAGGTAGGTGTCGTCAGCGTATTTGATGATGTGATTAGAGCTATGAAAAGTTTTGAGAGTAGAAGCATTGATGATAAAGATAGATGGTCCAAGGACAGAACCTTGAACTACGCTAGAGTTATACTTTATAATATTACGTAATATAATATTACTTTATATTACTTTATAATCAAGTACCTACGTAGATGGTTTGCTGCAGACACTCAAAAACACAATTCAAAAACAGGCAAAAACGTTTTTTAGCAGTTCTACCTTAAAGATTTGTAGGGTTTTTAAGCAAAATTTAAGATATAAAAATTTATAGCTAAAGCTATTTTTAAAAATCCACAATACACTGATCAGTGATCATTGATATCGCATTGAAAATAATTTAAACGACTTGAATTAATATTTTGCATAAAATTTTTCGATACATCAATTTATTGCAGGAGAAGTCATAGTCCCTTCGAGGAAGCCTTTAATTGATGCTATAAAAGCTACAGTAATGACGCACTACAAATCTCATCTTATCGGCAAAAACTTCATTTCTGTCAGCGTTGACGGTTGTGCTTGGAATGATTCTTGCAAATCTGTTAAGGCCAGTTTTTCACTATTATAAATGAAATTAAAAGTTTCAATAAATTTCATTAAACACTCAGAAATGTAATTTTTTATTAAAAAAAGGAAAATTTTTTTCATACATTTTTTTATTTATTGTTATTATTTAAATATGCTTTTTACAAGTGAACAATAAACATTTAAATTAATTAATAAATCAATATTAGCTCTGACAAATAAATTATGTCGTGTAAGATAGCGCGATATAATTCATATGTTTTCTAAAAATGAAAAATTTCAGCATTATCGGACAATGAGACATTTTTTCATTTGATCATTCATTTGAGCAAATGAAATGTCTCCGAAAGATTTTCTGAAATTTTTTCAAAGACCTTTCACAAACGTCACTATGAGGGAGAGATGCCAGAATTAACCAACCATCGAAAAGATGATACAAAAACGGCAATTGCGATGGTTTGGTCATGTGTGTCGTCGGATGAGCCAGTCTCGTCTAACACACCAACTGCTTTTAGATTTTGACCGAACACTTGAAAATCCATGGTTCTGCACCAAATAAAACGTGAATAAAACATATTGAAGTGGATCTGCAAAACCAACGTCTCTGCCCAGCACATGTAAAAACCGTTGCATTGAGTCGGATCGAGCTGAGGAAAATAGAAGAAGATCGGACAATAAGATGCTATCGAAAAAATCAAATACAAGTTACTTAGAATGAAAGAAAGAAACAAACAGATAATCAGACACACATAGACAGACATAAAGGAACAAGGAAGCAGACAGACAAACAAACAATCAAACAAACAACAAAGCAAAAAATCAAACAAACAACTTAAATAATAAAGTTGATACACTGTAAGTGTAGTAAAAATATAAATACACACTTTCAGATGATTGGTTTTGATATTGTAATCATAATTTATAGCAATATTTTTATTATTGAACGGTTTAAGTAAAAAATTCAACCGCAAACTATAACGTAATAAATTTTGTTTATTTTCTTCCACAACATTAATTTATAAATATGAATTGTTCAGTTCCAAATGACAGTTAATATTTTATTCACATCATTTCTAGGGATCTCAAGTGAAGGTCTCCGTAAAAAAACATTTGGTGAATAATGAAAAAGATGAGGTATATATTTATGATAGATATTTGTTTTCAATTGAAATATAATTGAGAATTTACATTTAGGTGTCGCCATCGCCACAAAATGACAACGGATGTGTATTTGCCTGTAGCAAAGATGAAAATTCAGATACATCCCTTCCGACATACAATAATGCTTTTCCGGACAAGCTTCACATAGAAAATCTTCCCGGTTATTTTAATCTCGACAGAGAGCAGGTAGGTCAACCTATTTTAAAAAAATTTTTATGCTTTCAACTAAAAATTGACGTAATTTCAGCAAACATTTTTATCTATTATCGAACAAAGTCTTTCCCATTTTTACGATTTCCAATGTAATCATTTCTTTGCCTAACATTATTCAATCTATTTTGATTAGTTTAAGCATATTGATTTATTATTGGATTAGTTTTATGTATTACTAACGCTCTCGAAAAATTAAAAAATACAATTGTAGGGTATAAAATTTTGATAGTCAATTTTCAGTTAATGTTGATATTGTTTATAGTTTAGTGACTCATTGGAAAACCTGCCACAAACAGACCTAAGTAATCATACCCGCTCGTTTCATGTTAACGCATGATCCAAATGAAGTCTTTAAAGCAGCGCTAAACCAATGCCGAAATTGCTCACGAAAGTTGTGTTGTGATGCAACCGATACTGTAAAAGTAGTGGCGTTACAGTATTGTCGCTTTTGCTACTTCGCTTTTAACAACTTTGGAAACCACATTGATATTGGCAATTTCTTTTTTTTATCACCTAACCTCTCACCTTACAAGTGTCACATCTTTTATTAATTATAACAACTTTTTTAATCTTATTTAAATTTGCATTTTATCTTAATAATAAATTTAATTAAAATATCAAGACAGAAAAAAAATTGAATGAAGTACCAGAACGAAAATATATACTTCGATACAGAGCCTCGTTGAAGTCAGAAAACGACAGCCATCTAGTTCTTTCATTTCGGTAAATATATTTTTAACACGTGATTTTAAACAGTTGGCGTCCATTTAACTTATAAATGACGCAATAGTATGAAATAAATGCTTAATAAATTTATTGTTTTTGAGTGCCTAAACATTAAGAAAGAATTTACTAAATTATTCGCTATACCGTGATATATAAATACAATATTTCAAAACTAGTCGGCGTTTTACCTCAGAAGTCTATTGTCTAACTTTTTACGGTGCTTGTGAGTACACGCAACGAATGATTATGTACGTTTTTTGGTAACATTATACAACCTTAAAGTCTAATTGTATTTACGCAAAATTTTAGTGGCCATGACTCAATTTTTTCTAGAAATGTTTTCGGAAATGTTATCTTATTTGGTGCTTTGGTTAATATTTTTTGAGTTGAGGGTGAAGGTTAACATCGTATCAAAAATAAGACCAAGAACATTTTTCATTTGGTTTTAGAGATTTCGAGTTTGAGAAAACAGAAAAAAGTTAAATGAAGTGAGTGATTGTTGAGCTGGTAGATAAAGAGATTTCTATCTAGTCCAACAGAGTCGGCTGTAAAGTTATCTGCTCAAATTGTTTTCATATTTGGCTTGGTCTTAGGGAACACCGGTTGTTTAAAAAATTGTTGTTGAAGTTTTTTTGTACAGAAAGAAAGACAGCGAATCATTGAATGCAGTACACTCATATTTATACTCGGTAGTATATCGTTGATTAGCATTAGTAACATCTAGTAACGACAACTGAATGAATAAGCTTTTGTATAGCATAGTGTCGGCTGTCAGTGAAACATTTTAAAAATTTCTGGTTGAACGAGTCTACGATATTAGATAACTATTGCTAGAGAAAACCATTTAGAAGAAGACGGTGGCGTAGCTAGAAGTTGGCTTTCATTCGTTTAAAAAGTCGGCGACTTTTTTACATTGGGTTTATCGCACGATTATTTTTAAATTTTGCTATTAAAACCAATGGTTTTTTCTAGGAATGGGACGAATCCAAGAACTTGAGATCTGTGGTATCTGGATCTGAATCTCGATGATGGATCTAGACGGATCCGAATCCGAATCCCGATCTAATTTGCATACCATCTTAAAATTAAAAATGCTGTTTCAAGATGAAAAAATTTACAAAGAATAAAATTTGTTTTTGTGATGAACATACGGCAGTTTTAGCTAAAACAAATTGCGAAAACACAAATGAGCTTGTAAATTTTTGAGCTTTTACCCTACTACTTGATCGTTGTTGATATTTAGATTAACATTTTCCGCCGATCGAATTTTTTTTCGTTCTTTAGGTTAATTTTGAACCCGTAAAATGGTGAATCCTCAACTTTGGATCCGCGGATCCGAATCTTTTACGAATTCCTGGATTCGGACCCGTATCCGGAACCGTCGCATTCTTAGTTTCTACTAAATTTAAAGTAACTCTATTATTATTAGGGATGCAACAGTTCACAGTTCCAATTTTTACAAATTTATATAGCAATTTTGTTTAATTACGCCTTAACTCCACTAAATTTTTAAAGACTTGGCTACGCCTCTGCCAGCAAATGAATATTTAATGCGGGTCATTAAAAATGACGCAAATGCTTCCAGGTCAAGCAATGTGATTCAATTCCTACGTGCAGTTTAATTACTAATGTTATTATTAATATTGTCAACAAAAATTGATGTTGTTATTGCTTCAAAAAGTAAAATGCCTGACCACTTTATTTGCAGATACAACTCAGATATATGGCACTTTCTAATCTTTAAGGGTTCGGCAGATAACGTTCATTTCTATTTGTTTTCTGATGGATATTTTGCTCCAACAGTCAGCGAACTACTAGCATACTACGAAAACAATCATATTACCTCGGATACTGTTGACTGTCCAAATTGTTGCTTAGATGGGCCGGCAAAATAATCATCAACAATAAAATTTTTAATTTACTAAATTTATTTAATTTTTTTTTATTTACTCTTATAATACATATCTTTATATTTATTTTGTATAATTTTGTTAAATAAATATTAATTTAATAAGAATTTTAACTAAATTTTGATAGCAATTAAAATTTGAAAATATCGGTGAATCAATGTTTCGAAATATAAGCAGATCGATCAGGCAATCGCTCAGTTCAAATATTTTTATGTGCCGCTTTTAAGGATTTATTAATAAACATTTATCTAAAATGAAACACAATGCACGTATGTTTTTATTTTTTTTTTATTTAAACTTGATCAATTTCAAAACACGGCTAGTAAGCCTTATCATATATAATGCGAAAGAAATTATTTAGTTGCATTCAACGAATAATACTTAAATGAAAAAAAATTTTTAGAAAAAGTTATTTTTTAATTTAGACTTTAAAGCATGAATAACAGCCAAAAATAATTTGTTTATTATTTCACCTGTGTATATCGAGTTAACATGTGAATAAAAACAAGGCTAAAAAGAATCAACCGTACCTTACAGCTTTTAAATGTTTTCAATGATTGCCTGGATAAAAATTATTTAAAAATCGTTCAAAAATACTTTTTATTATCTAATAAAATTATCTACAAAGATAAACATGTTCTTTCACAAAAAAAAAACAGGAAAATAATTTTTTTCAATTGAAAACATGCTTCTTGCACTAAATTTTTGGTTTTAAACGTCTTAATTTTAAATTTGAACTAACGTTTAAAAGTTAGGCACCAGACAAACAATTGAACAGACAGTTCAATATAAGTTAACAAAAAACTAAATAAATGGTGGTATTAACATTAGGAACAAAAAATAACAAGGTGCAAAGGCATAAAGTAACTGCACGGTGTATTATATTATATTCCTAAGGTTGTTACAATGTGATTCCCTTCTTTCGATGCTCTGAAGTTCGTTGAAACTTTCAACATTTTCAATAAAATTTATTTCTATATTCGGCTGTTTCTATATTTATTAATTTCTTTAATATATTAATAAAGTGTTTCTGTTTTTAATTATTTAATATTATTGAAATAAAATCATAAAAATACTTTATTCATCAATATTCATGTGATAACAAATACAGGAGATGTGGGAATGTTCCATTTTAAGTACTTTTACGAAATTCACCACCTTCAGAATTTATATCTTGCAATGCAGTAGGAAAATCAATAATTTTATTCAGCCACACGCAGTAGGCACATGAGAAAATTTGTTGGAAATCGGAAGCCTGAATCGGAACATTTTCTCCGGAGTTGGAAAGGAAAATTTCAAATTGAAGAGTTGAATCGGAGTTGGTCAAATTTCCATCAGACTCCGACACCCGAAAGATTACTAAAAATTAGTTTATTGAAATGCAGAGAAGGGTAGTTACAAACTACTAATAATTAGCAACTAATTAATAACTACTTTGAAATATTTAAATCGTAGTTGCTAACAAATTTTTTCGAGTGGAGTTAATAACTACTAGGCCCTATTTAGCTATTTTTTTTAATACTAACTGATTATAAATAATAAGCTACTTTTCTTGTGAACGACCAAAATTTATTTGACAATTATTTTTATTTCTTTCTACACAGCAACTTTCCTATTTTTAACGTTTTTCTTAGCTGTTTCTCATTATGATTACATCATTTTTGTTTTCTTTTTTGTGCACGGGGTATGTGTTTGTTGTATTACAAATTTTTATTTAAAAAATGTCTGGTCCCATTATCCGATAGTCCAACACAATAACTTTAATTTTATTTAAATAGAAAACATTTTATTGAGTTATTAAGCAATTTATTTGATCGTTTATAAAAAAAAACTTTTCGGAAGAAATTGTTAATGCTATCCATCTAATAAAAAAGTTACAAAAATATAGAACCTTAAAAGATTTTGTTGATCCTCAAAATTATTAATTTAATGAATTAATCATAAATATAAATATTTGATCAAGCAGCTGGTTCACCAAGGCAACAGTCGGGACATCTGGCGGTTGAAGAAAAGATTTTTTGATTTTTATAATAAGCTAAAAGTTCAGTTACAGTAGAACCAAGATAACCATCTTTGAAAAGGAAGAACTGTACGGTCTCTGGTGATGCTCTATTTAAAATAAGGAAGTGCCACATAACTGAATTGTAACTGTAAAATATATGTGCATATCATTAAATTAAATAAGCACTGAATTACTTTTAAAGTTAATATGCTGGTGAAAACTTGCTTACATAATCATTCATTAGCATGGTTATCGGAGTTAATTATTGCTAATGAGTTATTTTTTGTAACTTAAAAAAAAGCTGCTTTAAACAAAAATTGAAGTATATATATATATATATATATATATATATATATATATATATATATAATTATTTATAAAGATCACTGCGTTTTCGGCATTATTCAACTTGTAGTTGAGTTTCTCAATTTTTCTAACGAGACTTTTATCATCTTGATGGAGTTTATTAAGGTTAAATAAAAAACTTTCAATATTTAACATTTTGACAAAACATCATTAATAACATTATTACTACCGAAAAGCTTTTTTCGGCATCAACTGCCATCATCAGTGTAGTTATATAGTATTGTTCCGTCTTTGTGTCTTTGTTTTTACAGCGACTTTGATTGTAACTTAATTAGAATTAAAGGTAATCATGTGTTTCTTTGTTGGAAGAATATTGGTATTATTTAGTTGAATATATATATATATATATATATATATATATATATATATATATATATATATATATATATATATATATATATATTTGTATAGGCTGGAATTGATGCACTATTTGATAAAAATCTACCGAATATTTAGCTTTAGAAAATTTATGATTGAGCTATTTACTATTTATAACAATAATTTTGAAATTATTACCCAATTTATCAAAATATATTAGAAACTCGTTGGTGTTCATGGTGAAGCGTATATGGGGCATATTTCGATTTTACTCATCTGCGCTTATAGAAATATTTCAAGGTTTTACTATGCTTTGTCCCGTCCGTTCATTATATCTTTGTTCTGTTCTTTCTCTTTGCCTTTAAAGTCTTTCAATAATATTCTTCTGGTCAGTAATGATGTTGCCATTCTTTAAAGCTTGTTGATTTGCGGTTTTCTTTGTTCAATGAAGATAGCTTCAGCAATTTTTAGACGGCTGTGGTTTTTGTTACCGTATATTATACTAGTATTGTTTACTAATATCTCACGTGATGGGATCTTTTAATGTATCGTTTCCAGGTGAATTCTAATGGTTCCTTCTCTTATGTGCATAGTAAGACGTTGACGTGTTAGGGATGTAGTTGTCTTTCCAATATATGATTGTGGCTGACGAGTGCATTTAAGGGCATTTAAATTCATATATTAGGGGCTTTCTTTCCAGGGTTAAATTTTTGGTAGGCGTGCAATTGTTCTTTATTATCAAGTTTGCCGTTTTTGCGTTTTGTTAATAAATTATCAGATTTACTCTATCATCTGTATTTTTTCTATGAACATCAACGATTTTTTAAAGAATTTTAATAAATTGGATACTAATTACAAAATTACTGTTAAAAACATTGAAATGCTCAACCGTAAACTTTCAAAAGCTAAACATTCGTTAGATTTTATAAATAATATAAGATATTATATATATATATATATATTTATATATATATATATAATACACAAATACACTTAAAATAGCGAATTTAGACAACTTTGACGGGCGGTCCAAATTTAAAAAAAAAGTTAAAATTTTTAATTCTGACAGAAGGCAAAGATTTGTGGTAGTGTGGTCAAAATTAGACTGGCAACCTTTGTTTGACAAATAATGGCGCTTATTCCGTGCAAATACTAAGTTTTAACGACTTTTTTTATAAAAATAATGCTCACAACGGTGGGAGCCATAACCCCCTCTAGATCCGCCACCGTATACATATATATATTAAATAATATTGAGCAGCCGATACGACAAATTATTATTGCATAATTATAAAATATAAATTTTGAAATTATGTTGACGCTAATTGAATGTATAAAAACGCAGAAGAATATAATAATACGGAATAATAAGGATAGAAAAACGTAAAAAATTCGTGTTTTAGCGATTGAATAAGATTTTCCTAATCAAAGATCAAAAAATTTATACCTGAAACTTTTACATTGTTTGATGTAATAAGGAATCATAATAAAGAATTTTCTCTATATGTTATTCTATATATATATGAAAATTATACGTTTTAGATCTTATTGAATTCTTTTTGCTATTTAATATTTTTATTTATAAATTCAATTTTATTAATTATTACGTTGATAATTCTTTATAATGATTATAACAGAAAACTAATAAATTTACCACAATGATAAAACTAAGTGGCTATCCTGTTCGCATGATAATTTTCGTCTGTACCGAAGTATGTACGTTCTCTCTGGTATTTCTCGTAACTTTTGCTCGGTCTTAAAATTAAATTTAGAAAATTAGTTCGAAAATATTGAATAACGTTAGCAAACTGTGATAAAATTTACGATACAAAATTGACAATAGACAAATAAAAATTAGCAACCAATAGGTCAAATCATGGCTCCTTAATAGGAGTTTAAACGCCGTTGAAATAGAAATAAACAAATATTGCTATATAATGTTTTTTATCATACTTGTTCTCTGTTGAATTCAAAAAATCCCGGCAAGTGACTGATGTAATGTTTATCGGGATTTGAATTATTGTAATCAGAATGGATCGGGTCTGAGATTACTATCTGATCAAGATCAAGACATGTAATTCCATCTCTTGAGCAATGCCGATTTTCTTCGATTGATGACGACGTGTCGGTATTGCTTAATCCCTTCAAATAAATGCAGTTGTTTAAAATTTCTGGTTGAGAAAATATTAAATTGAAATGTTAAAAATTTCAAACCTGATATCTTTTAACTCTAACATTAACTTGGGATCCCTTAAGATGGAAATAAATATAAAAATTAATAAAGTTCTAAATCACACTTTTCAAATATATTACAATTTTCATATTTTATGGTTGGCAACCAACAGAATTGATTCAATAAATCAATTAAATATCGTATTATGTGGGAATAATCCACACTTTTTTTTTAAACCTTCCAACATCAATCATGATAAACTACACTTTTACGTGTTTTCATTATCGATAAACATTACACTTTTATATTTATCGATAGTGAAAACATGTAAAGATGTTATATTTTACGATACTGAAGATTGTAAAACACTAATTATTCACTTTAAACAAACAAGGAATTAACAAAGTAGAGGCACAGTATATATATATATATATATATATATATATATATATATATATAAATATATATATATATATATATATATATATATATATATATATATATATATATATATTTTTTACAATATTCTATAAATTCTATCGAATGTTTGGCGTTAATATGTTTGTAGTTCGTTTTTTCAATTTTTCTCACTAAAGTTTTTTGGTGAACGTTTAGTTTATTAAAATTCAAAATAAACTTATTTTCCGAATTCATGCTGCAAATAAGGCCATATTTTGATTCCGAATGAATCATCATCAGTGCTTTTTGATGTTTATATAGGGAAATATTGACTTTGTCAAAATGAACTTAGATGGAAATTGACTTTGTCAAAGTGAACTTAGGTGGAAATTAGGTGTCAGGTTTCTTTATTGGGTGGTCATCCTCTTCGGTCTCCTTTTAGTCATCGATAGCATCATATTCTTCTTTGTCACTATTTACAATCCTAGTTTTCATTATTTCTTTGTTTTCATTGTTGGTTAAGCGCCGGGTCGGAAGTGAGGTTGTCATTTTTTGTTGTATATTTTATTTTGGTTTACTGATATCAAATAGGACTGCTTCTACAATTTTAAGATGCGTGTAGTTGCTGTTCTGGTATATTACTTGGGTGTTGCTGTCGAGGATTTCACGGCTAATAGTGATTGAGTGTGTTGAGTCCAAATGAGATTTGATAGCACCACTCTGTTTATGCATCGTAAGCCTTCTAGTCAATGTGGTAGTAGTAATCCCGGTATATGAATCATGTTGACGTACACAGCTGTCAAAGGGGCAATTAAATTCAAATATTACGTGATTACGCCTTAACACAGAGTTATCTCTAGGACTACAGTTTTGTAGGAATAAACTGAACGTTCACCAAAAATCTTTAGTGAGAAAAATTGAAAAAACGAACTACAGACATATTAACGCCAATCATTTAATAGAATTTATAAAATATTGTGAAAATTATGGTCTATTACCAACATATATATATGTATTTACATATATATATATATATATATATATATATATATATATATATATATATATATATATAATTATATATTATCAAAGACAAAGGTGAGGGTTGGAAGGGGGATGTCGGACGCTTTTAGTGTTAAGGTAGGAGTGCATCAAGGATCAGTGTTATCACCGTTTCTGTTTGCAATTGTGATGGATGTTGTGTGTGGAAACATAATGGAGGGGTTGTTATTTGAGATTTTGTATGCAAATGATTTAGTCTTGATGGCTGATAGCATGGAAGAATTGCAGTTAAAATTTGACAGATGGAAAAGTGTTATTGAAAAGAAAGGGTTAAAAGTTAATATTGGTAAGACGAAGGTAATGGTGAGTGGGGAAGGTGGGGAGCGAGTGATAAGTAAAATAGACCCCTGTGAGGTATGTGACAGGAGAGTGAAAGCTAATTCGGTATTGTGTATAGGATGTCAGAAATGGGTGCATAAGAGATGTAGTGGTGTGAGGGGGGCACTGAAAAAGGTGGAAGGCACGTTCAAATGTAAGAAATGTGTTCATGGTGTGATTAATAGGACGGACGCAAGGACGGGGTTGAGTGGTGGTATTGAAAGAGTGGAAAGCTTTGTTTACCTAGGAGATAAGCTGAACGCGGATGGAGGATGTTTGAGCGCAGTTACGGCTAGAGTTCGTGTAGGATGGATGAAATTTAGGGAACTGGGTGGGGTATTGTGTGGAAGGAAATGGTCAGTGAAAATGAAAGGGAGGGTATATAAAGCATGTGTGAGAGCAGCAATGGTATATTGTGGTGAAACTTGGGTGTTGAGGAGAGAGGAGGAAAGTGTACTGCAGAGGGCTGAAAGAGCTATGGTGAGGATGATGTGTGGGGTTAAAGTGAAGGATAGAAGGAGTAGTACAGAGCTGATGTCAATGATGGGACTGAATGAGGACATTGTGACATTGATAAGGAGATCGAGATTGCGATGGTATGGACATGTGTTGAGAAGGGATGAAAGGGTCGGGATTAGGCGAGCGTTGGAGTTCGAGGTTGAAGGAGTGGTAGGAAGGGGTCGTCCGCGATTGGGATGGAGAGAGCAGGTGGAGAAGGACAGGGTGAAAGCGGGGTTGCGTGATACTGAGGCGAGTGACAGATGTGGATGGCGTCGAGGGGTATTTCGGTTTCATCATAGGTAGCCAAACGGCAACCCCCGATCTTGGGGAAAATGTCGTCTAAACGTGTGTTGTTGTTGTATACATATTATTATTAATGAAACATTTATAAGCGTTAATTAAAATCAAAAAGTTCTCAAAAGCGCTATCTATAATCAAACAAAGTCAAAAAAGAAAAATGTACAGTCAATGGCGGTAGTAACAAACAAATAATTATTCACTTAACAACAAAATCAAAGCAAAAATAAGTAAGTTTTAAGTTTCTTTTTAAAATCATCAAGTTTCAAATCTTTAGTTCTATAAGATCTCGGTAAGCTCTTCAAACCATTGGTCCAGATACTGCAAAATCTCTTGATGCTATCTGCAGATTGACATCAGGTACAACCAGCAAAATGCCATCATCTGATCTAAGGTTCATACCACTCATCATTATAGTGTAGGGATCAAAAATTTATTTATTAACTATCTCATATATTGATTGTAATTAAAAATTATTGCAATTTTAAATGTTACCTAATCTATGTTAATTTTTATGTCTTTGTTTCTCTCTCGACTTCTTCCGTTTTTCCTGATAGCTTGTAAACAAAACGGTTCGAGATTCACGTGGGAATATAGATGTTTGTTTTATTTATTTTAACTCACAACAAGGTGTCTTGTTAGTAGCATAAGTTCGTACTAACAAATTGGTGACCTCCGACGTGATCTGAACGAAAATCCGACGTGATCTGAACGGAACGAAAACCCGACGTGATCTGAACGAAAATCCCACGTGATTTTGAACGAAAATCCGACGTAAAAAGAAATACGAAGATCCACGTGGTAAGATCAAAACGAAAACAATGTTCCAACCAAATGATAACCCTATCGCCATATTACCTCTTTTCAAGAAAACAGCATCAACAGATTGGTTCGAGAATTCCGAAATGCAATTTCAATTGCGAAACGTGATGTGTAAAACAACAAGATTATATCACGTAATAATTTCCCTGCTGTTGGATAGTCTCAAATTTGTCGTTAAAAGTGCAAAGAGGAACAGATTACGATACTCTAAAAGCAGAGTTATTATCAGTGTTCAAACAAACAAAACCAGAGCAATTCCAAGAAAAAGAACCTTTTAAAATAAATTTGAATCTGATGGATGTAAACAAAATCGAAGAGAGGCAGCCACCAGAAGAGTCCAATAAAATAAAAGTTGTCCTGAGCAAGAACGAAGATAAAAATGACATCCAACAATCACAACAACAAAATGTTGAGCCGAATGCTACCATCCCATCAGCAAATTCACACATGAACGATTCTCTCCTTCCAGTTCTCTCTCTTCCTTCTCCTGTTCAACAGCAGCAGCAGCAAGATCATCACAGAAAGAGAAAAGCAGAGCATAGTTCATCGTCCTCACATACATCTCATTCTAGAAATCGTTTGCAGCTGGACAGAAGGTTGCATGAGAGGCCCGAACAAAATTTGAACCAGCAACAAAAACGTGCAAACCATGGTGCAAATGGCCAAACAAAAAAAAGTTTTCAAATTCAACCATCATCAAGACCTCCATCTCCAACCCAGATGAGATCACCCACAAACAACATTTCTTCACCCCAGTCGTCGGAAAACTGATCAGGCGAGCCGAAGTTGCATCAATCGGCTCGCCTCTTTTTGAAGTTGCCGCAAGAATTGGATGCACAACATTAAAATTAATAGTAGATACAGGCGCATCAGTCACAATCATCCCAACAAAATTTTCAACAGGATTATGTTTGCAACCAACTGCCGTTCACTTGTCAACCGCGAGTGGTCAAAACATTACCTGTCATGGAGAAACCATTGTTGAAATCCACATCCTACCATTGCACAGAACATACAAATGGAATGTTGTAATTGCAGATATTGTCAAACCTTTGTTAGGCAAAGATTTTTTAAGTCATTATGAAATCCTTGTCGATTGCACCAACAACAAACTGATTGACACAATAACAAAAAAAACGATTACAACAAACGTTTTGCAGAGTTCCGTTCAACAAATTCACATCAATAAACCGCCAGTTCCCCAGATAGTAACGAAACTCATCAATAAATTTCCAATGTTGATTGAACCAAGAAATGAAAATCAAATAAAAATCAACTCAAAAGTAAAACACATCATCGACACTGGTGAAAGCCAGCCAACATTTGCCAAGGCTCGCCAACTATCTGAGGAGAAATATAAAGTAGCAAAAGTGTTTAATAACGAAGAATTGGAAACCTTTAAAACCATCAAATCTAAACTTGCCAACGTAACAACACTTCCTTATCCAGATTCAAAATGTACAAAATACCACTTAGTTACTGACAGTTCTGCTTACGCCATAGGTGCAGCACTGCATCAAGTAGTTGATTCAACTCCTGTACCAATCGGTTTCTACTCTAGAAAGTTAACTGAACCACAACGTAACCTTTTTACATTTGACAGAGAACTACTAGCAGCGTACCTTGCCGTTATCCATTTTAAATATCAGATTGAAGGAAGAAATGTAACTCTATTTACAGATCACAAACCATTATGCGCTGCCTACAAAAAGAAAACACCACTAAAGTCAGACGTTCAAAAACGATACCTTTCAATAATATCCGAATACATTGCAGACGTCATTTACATCCGCGGTGAAGAAAACGTTGTTGCAGATTGTCTCTCTCGGCCAGCAAATGCTGTAAAGATAGATGTTTGTGACTTGTCATCGATAGCCAAACAACAAGAAATTGATGATGAAATAAAATCATTCAAGGATCAGTTGAAACAATATCCAATTGGCGATAACAAAAAAATATTTTGTGATGTATCGACACCATACCTCAGACCATACATCCCAGTTAATTTGTGAAAAGCCATATTTGACAGTCTTCATAACCTCTCACATCCAGGTATCAAAACATCAATACGATTAATCAAATCCAGATATTTTTGGCCAGATATAGACAAACCAATAAGAACATGGTCAAGAGAGTGTTTAAGCTGCCAACAAAACAAAATTCACCAACACACGAAATCTACGATATCGTCATTCAATTTACCGTCTGCACGTTTTGAGACTGTTCATATTGATATTGTAGGTCCGCTACTACCGGCCAAGCAAGGAAATGAAACCTATTCAAGTCCATTCAGATATTTACTCACATGCATTGACAGAACAACTAATTGGATCGAAGCAGCACCAATGACAGAAATATCAGCTTCAACAGTAGCTACAACTTTCTTGAACATTTGGATTGCTCGATTCGGTGTCCCTCTTTATGTTGTAACAGACCGAGGTACACAATTTGAGAGCGAATTATTTCACGAACTATCAAAAATAATTGGATTTTACCGTCTGCGTACAACCAGTTATCATCCACAAGCCAACGGAAAAATAGAACGTCAACATCGTACCTTGAAAACAGCAATTAGTTGTCGTAAACAAAACTGGTTAGATGCATTAGCTGTCGTTCTTCTAGGACTTAGAAACATACCAGATGAAAATGGAATATCTCCAGCAATAGCAGTAACAGGAACCAACTTGTTATTACCAAGTAGATTTTTATTCCCAGATTCAAATGAAGATATAACATCTAGTCAAATCAAACAACTAGCAAAAGAAATGTTCAAACTTAATGACTACCTAACAAATAACAATCAACATCACTCAACCCCAAAAGCTTTCGTACCAAATGACCTTTCAAACAGTAGTCACGTATGGTTAAAAGTAGATCGAGTACGTCGTCCACTGGAAACACCATATACAGGTCCTTTCAAAGTGATTTAACGTAACGAAAAATACTTTAAAATTGAATTGTTACCAGAAAATTTTCAAAATGTGTCAATTGATCGATTAAAGCCAGCTTGTTTATCATTACCTCCAACAACCAAAACCAGAATAAACAACGAGAATAGTTCGACAACGAACAACAAACTTTCTACAACAGATTCAACAAAACCAGCAACATCAGACACAAAATCTACTGGAACACCAGAAACAGCAACAACAACATCAGACGCAACAACAACACAAGAAACAAGACCGACGTCAACCACATCCGAACCAACAACCCAACACTCCAGAAAAGGGAGGCGAATAACATTCAACAAACGAAATGAATATTTTTATTTTTAAACGGCTCCGCCTTTTGTGGGGGAGTATTGTAGGGATCAAAAATTTATTTATTAACTATCTCATATATTGATTGTAATTAAAAATTATTGCAATTTTAAATGTTACCTAATCTATGTTAATTTTTATGTCTTTGCTTCTCTCTCGACTTCTTCCCTTTTTCCTGATAGCTTGTAAACGAAACGGTTCGAGATTCACGTTGGAATAAAGATAATTTATTACGCCTGAATTGTGTTTGTTTTATTTATTTTAACTCACAACAAGGTGTCTTGTTAGTAGCATAAGTTCGTACTAACAGTAGACTTTTCTTTTGTTTTATCTATCAAATAACTTGGTAACAAGCCATGCACAGTTTTATACATTAAAATACATATTTTATATTTAATTCTTTTCTTTATAGTAAGCCAATGAAGGCCCTTAAGAATTGGCGTAACATGGTTAAATTTGAGACCTCCAACAATCAATTTGGCTGCTCTATTCTGAATAGATTGAATTGCAGAAATAAACCTATCTGGCAAACCGTAAAACAGACCATTGCAATAGTCCAATCGTGAATGAATTAATGCATGCACCAAGGTATGAATAGCAGATTTATCTAATGACTTACGGAGTTTATAGAGTTCTCGAATCAGTCCGGAGCATGAATTTGTTATCATCTTTATATGATCATGCATCGATAATCTAGAATTAAGAATGAAACCCAGATTAGTTGCTTTGTCACTAAATTTTATTTTAACATCTCCTATTTTCCCTGAACCAATATTAAGTTTCATCAGCTGCTGCCATGTACCTATTGGAACAAATTTTGACTTCTGCTGATTTAATCTAAGACCATTGTTTGACATCCAATTTTCAATGTTATTTAGGCAGGTTACAAGTTTGTTGATTTCAGATTGCAGTAATTCTGGCTTATTACTAACTATAATCTGAATATCATCAGCATAGGCATGATATTTAAAACCGAAATTACCAATTACTTTAAAAACTTCTGCGGTATACATGATAAAAAGAATAGACCCAAGCACTGAACCTTGTGGCACTCCTGATGTCAAAACCATTTCATTAGATAACACATTATGGAAAACTACCTGTTGCTTTCTGTCTGAACCATTTGATAACAGCACCGGAAATACCATAATCATGAACCAATTTTTTTAAGAGAATCTGATGGTCTACACAATCAAATGCCGCACTCATATCTAAAAACGCGACTAGAGCCACATGTTGTTTGTCCAAAGCAGCAAACAGCTCAGAAAACACATAAAGCAGTGCAGTTTCTGTTGAATGATAGCAGCGATATCCAGATCGGTGAACTGGTAGCAGAGTGTTTACATTCAAATGATTCAAGAGCTGTTTGGCAACTACTCGTTCAAATATCTTGGAAATGAAACAGATGTTGGAAATTGGTCTATAACTAAACAAATCATTTCGATCTATATTCACTTTCTTTAAAACTGGATAAACCATAGCATGCTTACAACCATTAGAAAATGTGCCACTGCTCAGACTCAGATTTAAGATACTGGTAAGAAAAACGATGAATAAGTCAATATATTTCTTTAAAATATGGGTCGGAAAGACATCTATCATACATGTTTTTGATGGCAAACTAAGTACAATTTTTTTAACGTCAGATTCTGTTAAAAGCATAAAGTCAGAAAAAGAACAATTCCTATTGTACTGAGCTTGACAAATAGTCGGACAATTACTCACATTGGTAGACTGTTTAATTTTATTTATTTTATCATTAAAAAACTTTAAGAATTGAGACGAATCTAAACCAACAATTTCACTCAATGACTGACCAGTGACCTGATTACAAAGGACTTTATTAATAACATTCCATAGATTTTTAGAAGATCCACTATTGTCTGCAACAAGTCTTTTCCAATAACTGTTTCTTTTTTGTGAAAAAAGCCTAGATTTATTTTTCAGAGCTGCTATCCACTCATTTTTACATTTCTCTGTCTGATATTTTCTGTAATTCCTTTCTTTCTTTCGACAAAGTCTTTTGAAAGATTTACATTCACTATCATACCATGGAGCATTAACATCACATCTGACTTCTGCAAAACAAAGTGGAGCAACTGCATCAGCCAATTTCTTGAGTTCAGAACTTATCATATCAAACTCAATATTGATATTGTTGCTTTGGCAAGACTTTGATAATGGAGAAGTCTGTATATATTTAATGAGATTGCTTTCATTTAGGTATTTCCAGGATCTAACTTGTATCTTGACTATTTTAGGACGCTTATGAGTTAATGGTATATTAACCTGAATTAAACTATGGTCTGAAAAAGTCCCACTGGGAAAAATCTTAATATCTGAAATCTGAAAATCTTGAGAACAAATAATCAGATCAAGAATACCTCCATGTTCATGAGTCGGTTCGTCGATCAAATTTTTTAATTGAAACATTTCTAATATTTCCAATAAATTTACAGTATGACGATCTTCCTTCTTCTCAAGGTGAATGTTGAAATCACCCAAAAGTATGATATTTAAACTAAAAGAAGTGATATTTTCTAGTAAACATAAAAATTCTTCAAAAAATAAATTACTAAATTACAAAAAATAATAATAATAACTAAAACTGATCCTGGCCTGTAGAGGGCTAATAGAACAAAATCTTTGTTGCTAATAAATAATTTAACAGCAAGTGCTTCAAATGAATTAAATATTGGCAGATCTATTTTCTTAAACTTAAATTCATTACTGAAGTAAATAATTAAACCCCCATGGTGAGGATCATTTATCTTTAAATAATCAACATAACTATATCCTGGTGGCATTGATGATTTAACAGAAATGTTATTCGAAGATCTGTGCCAAGTTTCAACTAAAACGAAAATATCTAGCCCATCATGAATCAAATCATAGATCGTATCAGTTTTTGAAATCAATGATCTAATGTTCAATAAACCTAGTGTTAAATTACGATTTATTATGTTGCAGTCTTTATCATTGTTATCATTTATTTCTAAATTTTTGACATATTTTATATTAACATTGGTTTTTTCTGTATTTTTACTATCTTCCATCTCCCTACCTGTCCTCTCACTCTGAACAAAAAATTTTGATTGTTTTCTTCTCGCTCCATAACTTTAGCTTTATCAACAAATGATTTGAATTCCTGCCTCTGATCCTTTGTTAAATCATAGTTCAGTCCAACATGTGAAAATTCTTTTAACGACTTGAATTTATATACATTTCTCATTATATTATTGAGTCTCTGAGTAAAACGCAATCCTACTTTATCAAAATGGGTCTAACGACAGTTTCGCATTTCCTTCCCAGTCTCATTATTTTGATTACATTTTTTTCAGAAATATCTCCTGTCAAGTGCTTTAAAATTTTCAAAACATTGGAACGATCATCATCACTTTCAGCTAAACGAAACATCAATAAATTTCTAATCAACATAATTTTTTCTGTTACTATCATTTATGTCATTCAGTTGAGCAACAAATTCATTTCTAATTACTTCAACATTCAATTTAACTTCCTTGCTGACAATGCTAGAAAATGTTTCTTTTATTTCGTTTTTAAAAATTTTAATTTCCTCGCGTAAAACAGTATCGAAACGATCAAGTTCATCAAGTTTAGATTGGTTATGGTCAACAACCATTTTTATGCTATCAACGTCAAGTTTTATTTTTCTGTTACTATCATTTACGTCATTCAGTTGAGCAACAAATTCATTTTTAGACGCATCCATTGACTTAGCCAAAGAACTAACATCTTGAGACAAATCAACACAACGTTGACAAAACCATTTTAAACCTTTAACACTTCTCAAAATTTCAAGAATATCATCGTTAGTTTCACATTTATTGTGAACAAAAGTCTTGCAACAAGTGCATGACAACACATCTTTACTTGGAACTTTATTGTACACTTCGTACAACAGTAGCGACTACCATACGTCATTATTGAATTTTTTATTATAATTAGTTACGCTTACTAGCAGGGAAATTCCTATCGCGTGACAGCAATTTACAGACAATATTTTATCAAATTTCACTAAAATAGTGAATTTTACAAACTAAATTTGATATAAAATTATTCAAAAATCTAATTATGTTAATCTATCCAAAAAATATCAATAAACGATTACTTTTAACGACAAAAGCACCAAAATTAACTGACGAAACGACAATATCAACCGTTCAAACGACTGTCCAAACGATATATATATATATATTTTCATTTATATATATATATATATATATATATATGTATGTATGTATGTATGTATATATATATATATATATTTATATATAGCGCTCTCTCTTATAGTTGAAATCAGTGAAGGTCAAAAAAGTACAAATCGATAAAATATCTCTATGTCAAAAATAAATAGGTTTTTAAGTTCCTCTTAAAATCATCAAGCTTTAGTCCAGGCATTCTGAGCGATTGCGGAGGACTGTTCCAGGCAATTGGTCCTGACACGGCAATATTTCTAGTTGCAGTTAGTAGTTGAGTAGTTGTCACTGTCAGTAAGTTGGCGTAGTCTGATCTCAATTTTACACCCGTTGAAGAAGCTGGTTATTTTTAAATTTTATTTATTAGATATACTGGTAACAACCCGTTCATAGCCTTATACATAGTCACACAAATCTTATAGTTGATTCTTTTTTTCACTGTTAGCCAATGTAGGTCTCTTAAAAAGGGTGTCACATAGTCATACTTTCTACGTCCAACAATTATTTTTGCAGCTCTATTCTGTATCGATTGAAGAAAAGAAATAGATCTCTCTGGTAATCCATTAAACAAGCTATTACAGTAGTCTAACCTTGAATGAACAAACGCATGAATTAGTGTCTGCATGGTTGTTTGATGTAAAAATTTTCGAACGCAGATAACTGGCAAAGCTGATAAGAACATGATTTAGATATGGTTTTTATATGATCCTTGAAAGATAATCTCGAGTCTAAAATACATCCTAGGTTTGTTGCATTTTCACAGAATTGTATTTCATTATTATCAATTTTTACTGAATTAATATTAATTTTAGAAAGCTGTTGCAATGTACTGTACCGACAGGTAAAAATTGAGTTTTCTCTTGATTCAATTTGAGACAATTTCTTGACATTCATGTACCTATTTTAGTCAAGCATTCAATGAGATTTTCATCTTTACTTTTCATCTTTTATCTTCATCTTTAACCAGTTCTGGTTCACTGCTAACTATTATTTGGATGTCATCAGCGTACGCATGATATGAAAATCAAAAGGACTCTTACTTCATATACTTCTGCAGTGTGCAGTACAAACAGAATAGGTCATAGGACTGAGCCTTGTGGTACACCAGATGACATTGCTTCAATACCAGATAATTTGTTTCCGAAAAAAACGTGCTGAGTTCTGCCAAACAAGTACGAATTGAACCAATTAGCTACAACTCCAGTAACTCCGTAATCATATTTTAGGCGATTCATCAGGATTTGATGGTCTACGCAATCGAAGGCAGCACTTATGTCCAAGAATGTAAGCAACGAAACATATTATTTATCAATTGCATTAAACAACTCAGACATAACATACAGCAGTGCTGTTTCAGTTAAGTGGTAACATTTATATCCAGATTGAATATCCAGATTGAAATACTGGTATTAAGCAATTTTTGTGTAGATGACTCAGTAGCTGACTGGCAACAACTCGTTCAATAACTTTGGAAACAAAGCAAATGTTTGATATGGGTCTGTAACTTTTCATTTCATTCCTATCATCTTTCGTTTTCTTCAAGACAGGTGTAATAACTGCGTGCTTACATTTATTTGGAAATACTCCCTCATAAGTTAACGAGGCTTGCGAAAAAAAACAATAAAATGATCTATATGTTTTTTAAGCACGTGAATCGGAAAAACATCTAACATACAGGTTTTGGCCTGTAGACCAAGCACAATTTTCTTTATGTCTAGTTCCTCAACGACACCAAAATTTGTGAGCAGACAATTTTCGGTAAGCCTACATCTGTCAAAAGTAGATTTTTCGTTAATACTAATAGTATGCTTGATCCGATTGGTCTTTTCTTGAAAAAACCCATAAATTGAGAAGCGGTGATGTCGACATTATCATAAAGTAAGCTATGGTTATTATCTTTACAAAGAATTTTGTTTACTACGTTCCATAGACCCTTTGAATCACCATTACTATCAGCAATCAACGTTTTCCAGTAATCGTTTCTTTTTATTGACAATAGTTTGGTTTTAGTTTTCAAGGAAGCAATCCATTCATTTCGACTCACTGATGACAAACAACATCTGTATTTCCTTTCTCAACATCAATCATAATAACCTACACTTTAACGTGTTTTCATTATCGATAAATATCACACTTTTATATTTATCGATAATGAAAACACGTAAAGGTGTTATATTTTACGATATTGAAGATTGTAAAATTAATTATTCACTTTAAACAAACAAGGAATCAACAAAGTAGAGTAGAGGCACAGTATATATATATATATATATATATATATATATATATAAATTTTTAAATTGAAACAAAACGGCTACTGAAATAGTTTAAAATGAAAATAACAAAAAGTTACTTTGAATTTATTGCAAATTTCAGACCATGGGGATTCATAACCATCAACGCTCAAAACGATTCGTTTTTTACCTGTTAAATCAGACTGAAAGTGCTTTATTACTTCTGGTCTGACAACGTCGATCAATGGTTTCCTTGAAGGAGTTTTTATGGTTGCTGTGGATAAATAATAATAATAACTGCCGTATTGGAATAAATCACATATAAATTTAAAAACAAATTTTTGTGTATATAAACACTTGTAAATAAACCTTCGTTATGTGAAATACTTATGTAATTAGTCAATGCTTTTTTTGTTAGAATCGGTGCCGATTCTCAATGTACCACTAGACAACTTTTCCCGGGAAAGCCTATGGTTGACAATCTTATTTTTGCTTATCTCGTCTAAAAAAGCACTATTATTAATTAAAAGTAATAATTTTTTCTCCACATTGAAAAAGATGCCGACACTGTAATTAGTAATTTACATAAAATTGAATAGAACAAGTTGTATTTGTGTCACACCGCGAAAATTTTTCACCATCGCATCAGGTTGCCAAAAATTTAGACTTATAATTCAAGGTTCAATTTCTTTTACAAATTTTTTTTAGATTTTTGGCTATCGCATTTATTTCAGAATCGACTAGCAACAAGATTTAAAGCAATCAACAAACCATACACACATAAAAAAGAGTCATCAGTAAGCAATAAAATGCTTGCAAATAGTGTAAAACAAAAGCAACAAATAATCAGAACAAAATTAAATCTAAGGCTACATTTTCTTTTTATTACAGAAACAATTTTTGTAATTTTGCACTCGCAAAGTTACCAAATTTATTTGCTTAAATTAACTCTTTTATTACACTTCCCAATGCAAGGTCAGGCAAGTGTCCGTCCACCATTGAAGCTTTCATACAGGTTTATCATGAGTTGAGCTTTAATCTGCCGAACAAACTTTCACACCTTTCAATTGACATAAATTTTCAGTATATTTTGTAACACAGCCTGAGGTTTTGGAAATATGTAATTACCATAGCAGATAATAAAAAAAAGTAATTTCAGGGTGTTGCTTGGAACCGTATTTAAAGGGTTTTCAACAAAATTTTGCGGTCACTAATTACAGCAAACTGACTGATTGATTACTTTCCTAAAACTGATACTGATGGAAACAGACTGTTTGTTGAAATAACAAGCTGCAAAACTGCAAAATGTCGTTGAAAACCCAACTGAATGATGTCTCAACAGCCTCACAGAACAATGTAGATGATGTGAAACTGAAATTCAAGTTTTTATCCAACTTCTTCAAACGCTGCATTGGTCTATCAATAATTGATTTTATAATGCGAGTTATTCAACCAAATATATCTTGCTTGACGTGCGTTTTTAGCAAGCATCTATTTCCCACGTTTGATTTTTTTATAATTTATTAATCAATTTCTCAGCAATGCAAAAATTTTATCTGATGCAGAATTTCTAGATCAGATCAGTGGTGTGCTAACTTTTCATCCTTCACGGATTCTACGGTCATTAAATCCGGTCAAATTTTGATAAAACTATTTGAAAAATGAAGTTGAAGTATAAAACTGTAACTTAAGATATTTTGAAGCAAACTGCGTGCATTTTTCTGAGTGCCATTTCTCCGTGTTATAGTGTAAGAATCTTTTTTGCTCCGTTTTGCGTTTTATTTTGCACTCCAACATATTTAATGTAACTACAAAACGTTTCCAAATTTTCTTTCATCAAACAGTTGAAGCACTGAAAAAACTTCAAGTTTATTCACTGCACCGAAAAATATCACAAAAACTGGATCCTGTCTTGCAGCATTTAATCTGACTTAATTCAATCTGTGATTATTACAATTAACAAATGGTGTTTAAGGATTTTAAATAAAAATTCTTTTTTGTAAACCTGACAATCTTTTCGCCCTTAAACAAAAATCTGTAAAACATGATTTAAATTAAAAACGAGGTAAAACCAAATTTTCCAAATTGTATTAAAAAAATCTAGCCACTTTAATTTAACTTCAGAGTCATATCAGCATGAATTGCTTTCAATGTTATGCTAAATAATTGAAAATAATGAATTTTGTTATTAGATCGATTTTTTAAATTTCCAAACTCATTAAAAACATTGTTATACAAAGAACTTTTGAAACGAAGCAAAAAAGAATTGTGTATGTATTGTGTACTGTGTGTGTGGTGTATGTGTGTGAGTGAGTGTGCGATGGTTGTTTTTTAAGATGGAAGAAAAATTACTGCTTAATGATATTTGTTAAGCTATTAGCAAAACGAATGTGAATATAATAAAATTAAATATTGCAAGGTTTGATTAATTTAGAAGAGGTAAGTAAGTTTTAAATCACCGCATATTGGTTGTGTAGATTTTGACTCTTCCCCAAATATCGTGATTGTCAACCACATATAATCTAAAAGAAATAAAGGTACACTTTGGTAAAAACTGCAACTAAATGTTGTTTTAAAGTCAAATTAAATGTATTGATAACAATGCAAAACAACAACTTTGTAATTAATAGAATAAAATAAAACTAAATAAAAAATTCGAAACAAATTGTAAAAATAGCAAAAATGTTACCATTTCTAATTTCATCAACTTTCTCCTTCAAGTCATTGCGTTCTATTACTTTGAACGTTTCAGACAAAACTCTTATTGTACTGTTGGAATTTTTTTTAGACCACGCTGAAAGGATTTCATACCCTGGATTGGATTTATTTTGCACCTGTTTCAGTTCTTGTTCCATTCCTAAATAAGAACTGACTTCGCGATAGTCATCATTTTCATTCAGTAGCTGACCCAACTCCAGTTTGTGCAATTCGGAAACGTTTCTAAATGGTTCATCGAATCCAATTTTGTAGATCTCATCGTGGGACGTTGTCATTTTAAGGAAACCAATGGGTGATTGGTGTCTGCCAATTTTAGTCCAGAAATCTTATTAACTATTGAAATCTCATCCAATATAAATATAAAAATACAAATGAATATAAATGTAAATATAGAAAAATGATCAACTGAAATGTGAAAATGATTTTACATTTCAGGAAGATGGGCATGCTCAATACAACACCGATGCCTTTGTTGCGTTTAAATTTACATTGGCGCACCTATACAATATCATTTGAATGACCAGCTACAAATCACTTATTTATAATTTTGCATAAAATTATTATGTTTCGTCGTCATTTTATGTATTCAAACTTTTGAGAAATTTTTTTGTATAAATATTTGTTTTTTCACTAATTTGTCGATAGATTTATTTTTAAGAATTATTTCATCAACAGCAAATTGACAGTTCCAAAGTAAAACTTTGAATATTTAAACATGATTTCTGAAATTTGGTTCTAGTCATTTATGTAGATAATTACTTTTAAGGAAATTCCCTATTAATGTAACATATGCCATGTAAATGTGCCCTCAATAATTTTAGGATCTTTGGCTACGTAAGTTTTATTCAATCATTAGGAATTAAACATTTGTTGTAGTATACGCTTTGCTTTTTTAATTAAAATGTATTATTATATTCTTTTTAGGTTTTCATGTATTCTAATAAACGTTAAAGTAATATCAAAATTTTTATCTTATAAATATGCTATATTAAATTGTTATAAAAAAAACTACACTTTATTATTTTGTACAAAGTATATGTTAAAATTTAAACGTTTGCCATTCAATGTTATTCACAATTCGGGGCATTATATTATCGGCTGCTCAATGTTATATATCGATGACATCCTATATTTGTATATTTTATATATGTGTTTCCAGTGCATGAATTAAATTCATTAATAATTTTATAAGATTAACAGATTATTAAATTTTTATTGTTATTAAATTTTAAATTAAAATCAATCAACCATCAATCAATCATTCATTCAATCAATCATCATTCTATCAATCATTCAGTCTGTCGGTCGGTCGGTTGGTCAGTCAGTCGTTAAACAACCAATTGCAAAGAAAAAATAATAAAAAGATATTGAAATAAATAAAAAGTTAAAATAAATGTTCAATTAGCTCAACTTACGGATTAATCCTACCTATTTGTACGTACGATTACAAAGAAAAAAAATGTACGTACGTATGTATGCATACACGTATGTATGTATGTATGTGTGTGTGTTTGTTTGTACGCAATAAATCAAACTCTATATAACCGCGCAATAAATCAAACTCTATATAACCGCGCAATAAATCAAACTCTACGTAACCGCGTAAAAAATAAAACTCTATATAACCGAACAATAAATAAAACTCTTTATAACCGCGCAATAACTTAGGTAACTTTGTAATGTTTAGTGTCTAACAATCACTAAACATGAAACTCCTTTTCATGTATAGTGATTGTTTTTGTTTTGTGCGCACACACATGCAATACGCATACAATACAAAAAAACAAACATGTTACAAACATGGTATAAACATGAAACAAACATGATACAAACATAGTATAAACATGAAACAAACATGATAGGCGCTTTTTAATTAAATGAGATGTACTAAGTAAAGAACTTTATATTTTATACACATATGAATAATAAAATCAGATGGCACATATAAATATATATATATATATATGTTAGCTCAGATGTTAGAGTATTAGGTTTTTTTGGCTGTATATGAAAGGATTGAATAGCAAAGTGAGTACTCTCTTCTCTCTCTCTTTCTCTTTCTGTATTTATATTATTGACAAAAATCACAGCATGTTCGACTTCTATTTGGAAGTTAACTAACGTCGAATATGCTGTGATTTTCAACAATAATTGCATTTCTGACAGTCTTAATCCAATATATACACTATATATATATATTCGAGTACCTGTGCACAAACACAACATATCAGTTTGAACACCGAAAATGGTATAGGAATACCGAAAAAAGCTTTTCTGATATATCATGCATAAAATAAACAAAAACTATATGAAATGAATATATATATATATATAAATATATATATATATATATACATATATATATATATGAATTTGGATAATGAACTTGGAAGAAATGAACTTGGATAATCCTTTTTTCAACAAATTGAACAATTTCCTGAAAATTATAGTAAAGAAAACTGAAAAGACAAATTTTTAATTGATAAATGCTAACAATTTGGTAGAATCAATACAATACTGTATAAAATATGTTCATCTTACAACATACATATAATAAATATATACTTCGATTTTCAACCTTTAGAGTGTTCTAAAGCGGTAAATTTGAGATTTAAATTGAAGTTTTGGCGTCTTTTCCATCTTTGTTTTTTAAAGCTTGTTTTGTCCCAACTCTCCTTCATATCCTAGAACGCTCTCCTTCTCAGTGGTTCAAAAAAACGTCAAAAACTGTATAATTTATAACTTAACAGATTTTTTTAAATATTTAAAAAGCAGTAGATTAGAAAAAAGAAATGTTTGCTAAAATAATTTTGTTTTTTGACATGAAAGACTTGACACATAACTGCTTTTTTATAGATGCACTCGTGTATCAATATAACACAGACCACAGTCCCCAAACACATCCAATCTCCATGCAAATGCGTGTTGGTTTAAAAGCGCGATGCCCACAAATAATTGTGCGCTAATGCACGTGTCTGTGTGTTTAGGACTATTCAACGCTTTGATGTCTTCATGTTTCGGTTTTTAGTTTTATATTTTATTGGCATATCTTACAAATTAAAAAAAGTTTGTAGCTGCTACTTCCCAGTTTTTATTGGTGTTCAAAAGTCAGCCAAAATTTTTGATAAGGTACATCTGGTAATGTTCTTAAAATACTCTTAAAATGGCCAAAGTTGTTTGGTTGGTGTTCATAGTGTTAATAATTTGCCGGTTTCAAATTTTTAATGTTTTTCAAATTGAGTTAAATAATTAAACATTTGTATTTTTTATTAATTCAATTGACTGCAATCTAGTGCCACAAAACCAAGTTTTGTTTCTAATGATATAAAAGTTATAAAAGCGTTGTTGTCAATTAAACTTTTTATTCAATGAAAACTCTCATAAAGGAAATCTTTTATTTCATTATTATTATTACCGACTTCATTGATATAATTGTTATTGTTATTATTATTGTTACTTTGGTTGTTTGATGCTGTTAAACTTGATTGTCTAAAACACTCGCTCATCACATTCATCGCCATCTTCATAACTTTTTCCTTCAACCTCCGACCTCATCATCAAAATTTGTAGCATCATTACTCTAGAGGTAATATTAGCATTTAACATTTTAATTCACCAAATCAAATCATCATAGTGATACTTTAATCATCTAAACCATTTAATCATCTAAATCATTTTTTTTTCTTCTTTTTTCCACGTTTCTTCTTCTTTTTCTTCTTCGTTCCGGCACTTTAGGTTTTAAATGATGAAACAGTTGATAACAAATAGATAATCAGTTGACAGGTCAAAAAAATGTTTATCAACAGATTACGTAGTTCGTAATTGAGAGTAACATTGTTCGTAATCTAGAGTTACGCGTAGAGAAATTTATTAAGTTATTAATCACATTGGTTGCTGTTAAATACAATATCTCAATCAAGTTATCAACGGATATATCAAATCAAACTGATATGTTAACTTTAACATAAATGGTGCTGATAAGGTTCGTTGATGACACGCAAACGACGGTGACGAGAATGACGATGACTTACTTGTTTCCACAAAGACAGAATGGTAGATTACAACCGGGTTGACAGCACGCTGGACTAAAACAGGCCTGGCAGCCTGGACTTATGCACGGCTGACAACATGGCCATCCACAATCCCTGAACACGAGAATAGGACAAATTGTATTACCACTGCTTCCCTTACCACTCTTCCTCTTTTTTTTCTTCCTTTTCTTCCTCTTTTTTTTTCTGCTATCGTTCGTGTTCTTTTCATCATCCACTTTCTTTTCAAATGAACTGAACCTGGAAGAGTAATAAGTTGTTAGTGGCATTTTGTTTGGTTGATTGGTTTGGTCGGTTGGTTTGTTGGTTAAATGATCGTTTGGTTGGTTGGTTGGTTAGTTGGCTAATGGTTGGTTAGTTAGTTGGAGGTTTGGTTGGTTAGTTGGCTGGTTGGTTGTCTTATTGACTGGTGGACGGTTGCTTCAAACAAATTAAAAAAGGTATTGAAGTAAAAAAAATTGTACACATTATATATTCAAATATTACAACAAATTTTGAGCAAGAAACTAAAACCGTCTCATCACGACTCAAAATATATTTTATAAACCTTTTGGGAAATACCAGCAAACATTGGGCAGGGTTGTTCAAAGCCTGATACTAAAAGGTTTATATGCATTTTCACTAATAATATAATTTATTATTACTAATTATAATTTTAAATAGAATATAACAATAATAACGTTGATATAATGTATATTTTCTTTTAATATAAGAACGAAATGGACAATGAAACGCCAACCTGGACGACGACGGCTGGTTATTTAAAAGTGATGTTTGAGTGTTTGTGTAAAAACTCTCCTCCAGAACAATGAAATAATAGATAACATTTTTTATTGTTTTCAAATAAAACAGTATTTTTGACTTATCATAAAAATAAAAATGTAATTTATTTGTAACAGCTTAAAAAATGACGACACATCTCCAGTGGTGTCATGGCTGTCTCATAAACAATCGGCGATGAACCTTCTATAATTTAGTTCTTTCTATTTTAAAAATTTTTTGTCTTTCTTTAAGACCTGTATTTTAAAAAAGTCTTAATTTGTAACATAAACATTTTATTTCAAGCTTTTAATCAAGCACTTATTTTATTTTACGCACCACATCTTGAAATTTTGTCTGCAGCACACTAAATAACGTCGAAGTTAGAGAAAGTTCAAAGAAAGGAAAAGTAAAAAAGCTAACTGAATTAAATCATCTTAATTCTACGCTACACCAACCTGACTCCTGATCTAGAAGTGAGTTTAATATGAAGATAAAATACATCTTTTTCTATGTTGTTTAATAAAAAACTTAATAATAGTTTATGGTTGTCGTTTTAATTTTAGTGGAAACTCTTCCTTGTTTGTAGATAAATGTTTTAGTTTTGTTATTAAATTTGGATGCACAAAAAACTTTTATTTTAATTTTTATTTAAACTTTCAATTGTTTAAAAAGTTATTTATAAAATGCTTCTTTTTTGACTTTTGTATTTAATACCGTTTAGTACAAAGGTACTAAAGAAACAACAAGTTTCGGGCCATTAGGGTTCGCCGATGTCCAGATTTGGCCACGCCACCGCTGTAAATTTCTTTTAAATTAAAAATTTTATACGCAAATATTTGAATTGATATCTGCCTTTTCATTTATTGAAACTAGGCGAAAATAATTTGCATAATTAAAAAATTTACATGGTGAACCTGGTTGATGTGGTTTCTTCTTACGTCTGACATCCTCCTCCTCCCCATCATCATTATCTTCATCATCATCTTCTTCATCATCATCTTCATCATTTAACTGATCATCAGCATAAAAATCAACGTCGTTGTCATAACTATGGCAACCATTATCGTCATCATCACTGCTAACATCATCGCCATCATCATCACAAGTTTCATCATCAACATTAGTTACATCGTCATCATCATCATCAAAATCGTTGTCGTCGTCATCTGAAATTAGTTGGTGATGAGTGCTTCGCAGGGTAATCTGTGAGGCGTGCAGCTTGCCGTAGGACATCTTGAAAAATTTTAAAATCAGATTGTTTATTCATATTGCATTGTAACAAATAAGATATCTTTTTTTATGGCATTAATCTTAAATAATTATAAAAATGAAACTTATAAATAGGATTTAAATTAGATTCAAAAGAGATCTTAATGAAATATGAGATTAAGTACTCTTAATCAGCGGCTCGCCATTACCAATAATTAGTTATTTTTCAGAGATGGGCAGATTACACACTATATTGTAATTTCGATACAAATTACAAAATATTGTAATTTTGATACCAATTACAAATTACATTTAACAAAAGAGCCAAATAACTAATTACAAATTACTAATTTCAAATTACATGAAATTAATTTACATCAAACCAGTTTTAAATAAATGAAGAAAAAAATTTTCTTTGAAGTTATTTAAACATTGATTTTTCTTTGCGCTGATATTCTTTGATGTCATTTTTATATTCATTTATTAAGTCACTTTTTTTCTATCAACAATTAGTTCAATCATTTAACGAATGACTGAAGAACGAAAGACACTATTCACCACTACTTTTGATTTTGCATATTCTTTGATGTCATTTTCATATTCTTTTATTAATTTACTTTCTTTTGATCAACAATTTGTTCAATCTTTTAATGAACGACTGAAGAAAGAAAGAAAAAAGGAAAAAAAGAAAGAAAGAAAAAAAGAAGCGTCAAACATTAAAGAAGAAAACTAGCTATATGACCATAAACTTCAAAGTAGCAAATGAAATTTTTAATGAAATGAATTTTTAAAATTTAAAAATTTTTAGAATTTCAAGAAAAAAAAATTCAATAATAACAATAATAATAAAAATTTGTGTAAGTATATCTGTTCACTCACATATAAAGTAATTTCGATACAAATTACAATTGTAATTTGAATTACGTAATTTCCTTACTTGAGTTACATTACTGCACATCTCTGTTATTCTTCATCGGGCTGACCAGCTCAATGTTCTTATTTATTTTTCGATTTTTTCAGTATAGGGAATTAACAAAAAGGAGGTTTAATGAAAGAAAAAGAACTGGGGTGGAGGGAGAGAGAGAGAAAGAGAGAGAGAGAGAGAGAAGCACTATAACGGACAATATTGAACTTGTTTTAGCCAACTTTAAAAAAAAAATTTAATTTATAGGTCAGTCTTTAAAATTCGAATTAATTTAATTAATAAAAATGTTTTTTAATAATTATTCTATTTGTACATTTTTTGTTTTGTTTTGCTGCATTTTCACAACAACGTTGAAGTATTTTTTGACGAATGCGTTAAACGTTAATTTAAATTAAAATAAATTATTATTTTCAATTGCCATCCCCATACACTTAATCTGATGTTTTTTCGGTGATGTGATACCATCTCGGTATTGGTTTCATTATTAGCAATACATTGAATGCCAAGTATGGATTTTGATATTGTTGATACTTTTCAAAAATATAAAAATGAATTCTCGATAGAAACACTCTTGAATGTTTTCATAAGTGATTATATTGATTTTCAACATTTAGAGCGTTTTATGATGGTAAAATGGAGATTTAAATTAAAGTTTTGGCGTCTTTTCCATCTTTGTTTTTTAAAGCTTGTTTTGTCCCAACTCTCCTTCATATCCTAGAACGCTCTCCTTCTCAGTGGTTGAAAAAAACGTCAAAAACTGTATAATCTATAACTTAACAGATTTTTTTAAATATTTAAAAAGCAGTAGATTAGAAAATAGAAATGTTTGCTAAAATAATTTCGTTTTTTGACATGAAAGACTTGACACATAACTGCTTTTTTATAGATGCACTCGTGTGTCAATATAACACAGACCACAGTCCCCAAACACATCCAATCTCCATGCAAATGCGTGTTGGTTTAAAAGCGCGATGCCCACAAATAATTGTGCGCTAATGCCCGTGTCTGTGTGTTTAGGACTATTCGACGCTTTGATGTTTTCATGTTTCAGTTTTTAGTTTTATATTTTATTGGCATATCTTACAAATTAAAAAAAGTTTGTAGCTGCTACTTCCCAGTTTTTATTGGTGTTCAAAAGTCAGCCAAAGTTTTTGATAAGGTACATCTGGTAATATTCATAAAATACTCTTAAAATGGCCAAAGTTGTTTGGTTGGTGTTCATAGTGTTAATAATTTGCCTGTTTCAAATTTTTAATGTTTTTCAAATTGAGTTAAATAACTAAACATTTGTATTTTTTATTAATTCAATTGACTGCAATCTAATGCCACAAAACCAAGTTTTGTTTCTAATGATATTAAAATTATAAAAGCGTTGTTGTCAATTAAACTTTTTATTCAATGAAAACTCTCATAAAGGAAATCTTTTATTTCATTATTATTATTACCGACTTCATTGATATAATTGTTATTGTTATTATTATTGTTATTTTAGTTGTTTGTTGTTGGTAAACATATAACTTGATTGTCTAAAACCCTCACTCATCACATTCATCGCCATCTTCATAACTTTTTTCCTCCACCACCGTCCTCATCATCAAAATTTGTAGCATCATTACTCTAGAGGTAATATTAGCATTCAACATTTTAATTCACCAAATCAAATCAACATAGTGATACTTTAATCATCTAAACCATTTTTTTTTCTTCTTTTTCCCACGTTTCTTCTTCTTTTTCTTCTTTTTCTTCTTCGTGCTGGCACTTTTGGTTGTAAATGATAAAACATTTGATAATAAATATATAATCAGTTGACAGGTCAAAAAAATGTTTATCAACATATTACGTAGTTCGTAATTGAGAGTAACATTGTTCGTAATCTAGAGTTACGCAAGGGCGAATCCAGGAAGTTTGACTGGGGGGGGGGGGCGAAAATTTTTAAATAAATATTTTGTAATGTTGAATATATCCATTTTTGATTATAAATTTTAGAATGTAAATTAATTGAATAATATAATGTTTATGTTTACTTTGATTTATTTATAATTTTTATTACAAATGATCAAAGGAAAATTATGAACGCACCCACGCGGCAAAATACACTTGAAAATTTTTTGAACGCTTCTTCCGTCTGATTTTCATTTTAAAAATTCAAATTTGAGTTGCGCTAGTAATAGTACTGTATAAGTATCATAATTCATAATCATATTTTCAGTTTTTTTTAAAAGATTAATTTAAATATATATGGATCGTTTTGTGAAGCGAACTAAAAGGGCACATCTGTTAAGTTTTTATGTTTTATATTAAAACATTATGATTGATAATATACATTTATTTTCTTGGACCAAATGTC